GAACTCCTGGATGTTCATCTGGAAAGGCATCCTGAAATTGGTTAACAAAAGGAATATCTTCAAGTTTAAGGCATACCTCCTCGGGGTCTTGTAGTGAAGTAAGAAACCCTTCACATCCTTGCCAGATCATTGCCTTAACATTTATTTCTGAGATAAGACAAGTCCCATTCTCAGTTGAACACCTTGGAACACATACTTGGGTTCATCGATTCACCGAAGATGATTTGTTTGGCTTTGCAGTAAATAGTTACTCGATGTTTAGACAATCAATCCATGCCAAGGATGATATCGAAGTGATCCATTTTCATCAAAAGTAAAATAACCTCCCGAATTCGATCGCCAATAAATAACGGGCAATTTAGAAATTGACCAAGTATACATACTAAACTACCCATAGGAGTAGTAATGCGTAACGGAAACTCGGTGATTGTTCATACGGTTTAAGATTTTCTTCAAAATTTTAAGAAACAATCGAGTGTGTAGCACCTGTATCAAATAAAACATATGCATCTCTACTGTCAATAGAAAGGGTATCGGAAACCATACCACAGTAGATTTGTCAATAGATAGTGTAAACACTTAACCACCGGCAGTAGATTGTTTCTTTTTATCTTTAGCATTATCTTTCGGCCCTTGTTTACAATCACGAGCTAGATGACCTCGTTGACTACAGTTATAGTAAACGCCAGTCATTCGAAGACATGGGCCAGGACGATGTCTAAAATCACAATATTTGCACCGTAATAGAGAAGTTGTATTCGAAAAACTTTTACTGGAAGTTCCTTAAGATGAAATTGGAGGTCTATAATTCGGTTGTTTCCATTGAAATATCCAATTAGTTCATCATCCGCTAGAATTTCCTTGAAACACATATTTGTTTCGTACCACTATGGGAAAGTATAGAGTCCAGTTATTCCCTTTCAATGTTCCTCGCAGCATCAACAACCTGGGCAACACTCGTGAAGCATTGATTGATAATTTTAGGTCTAAATTTGCTATTGAGGGTCCATTTGAACTTATTACCTGATTTTTCATCGTATTAGCCATAATACCCGCAAAACTAGCCAATCATAGAAATATGGCTATATATTTGGATATGGATTAATTTTCTTTCTATTTAAATATAGCATACTCTTGAACATACGCCTCTTTGTCTGTCACAGTAAAGTATTGTTGATAGAAGACGTCTTTGAATCTTGACCAAGTTAAATGTTCAACAACTTGGTCCCCTTCGTAAGATTGCTTCCAAGCTTGCCACCAACAATTAACATCACCACCAAAGGGTCTTTGGCCTAGCGGTATCGTAGCCCTTGGCCTTCTAGGAGGTCAGGGGTTCAAACCTCACCATAGGTGAGGAGGGTGTGTGTGTTTATTTGTTGCATTTGTCGTATATAAATATTATATACTTCAAAAAAAACAATTAACATCACCTTCAAGTTTATAAGTAGCCAGTTCTACTCGAATTCTATCAAAACAACCCAAGACTCGGAATATTTTTTCAAGATGTGATATCCAATCTTCAGCCTCAACAGGAATAGTTGTTGAAGTAAAAGTATGATGCTTTTGTTTGTGAAACCTCTCCAACCATTGATGGATATCAGCAAGTTCACTACTAGTTTCCTGATCCTTGTATTTTGGCCTGTAGTTCCCAGTATTTGGATTCGGGTTTCGCCAGTCTAACGTAATGCTTCCACCGTTTGTGCTATAATATCCAGTAACATCTCGCTAACTGTTTGGTGGACAGTTGTCGTCGCATTAAGATCAAGCTGAGTTGTTGGCGGAAGATTTGTTTCATTTTCTGACCCAGTTGGATTTTTCCTGGGTCTGCCTGTTATTGCCGGTACTCTTCTTGGCGGCGTTTGGAACTAACACAAATAACAGGGAAACCATTTGTTTGGTTAGATTCAATAAGAAACGAAGCATACGAGATTTCAAATAATTAACATGCATAGGGTCTAGGACAATCCTATCTTAGTTCTACCTATTCCTCAATGATCAAACCTAAATTGTACTACAGAATCATGACTTATAGCTCTGATACCATAACTTGTAACACCCCCGTCCCGCGTGGTTAAAGACGGAAGATGCCACAATAGGTTTAAAAAAATACAATTCAATGCATTATATAAAACAAAGCAGCTAATATAATTTACCAAAAGATAAATTCATAACCACAAACGGAGATAACAACGTGTATCAAAATATGGTCCCAAAATACAAGTATATCTACATTAATCATCAAGAATTTAACAAAAGTATGTCTTAATGAGTTATCTTCAGTATTGTCATCTTCGCAGCTCTCATCCCAAAATCCCTGCTAAGTCATGTACCTGCCGAGGACAAAGAAAATCTCGGCTAAGCCTAATGCTCAATGAACATAAAATAATAACTAAACCATGAATATGAGATAACAAGTTCAAAATTAATTTATAATGTTAAGTGATAATCCAAAAGAAAGTCAAAATTTTCCGAAGGCATGTCAAGGGTCCGAATACCAAACCGCAACACGAGAACGTGTTGTTCCCAAAGGATGATCAATTCGTTTGGGCACGAGTGAGGAAAGGGATGCGAGCACAACATAACAATCCTCTCCATGGATTTAACCACGACCACAATTTATTATCCGATAACGGTTCCTAGGATCGATCCATACGCCCTCTAATTAAATGGTGTCTTATCAAGTCCATTTTTAAGAACTATATATAATTGAGGATGCCATGATAATTAGTCACCATGAAAGAATTTCAATACGGTGATCCCAATATTGAGTGTATAGGCACAATAGATACAATCTAACAAGTCAAGTAATCAAGTGATTCATGTTCCAAATAAGAATATAAGTCATAGTATAAAGGGAAACAAAGTTCAATAACATTTTATAAGCATAAAGAAAATTTGGAACCAATTATTCGGAATTTATCACAGATAATCCGAATTAGGAAGCCTTAAGCAAATGGTCATCCCCGTATCAAATGAGTTATGATATCCGTACCTGAATAGTGGTTGATGGAATACCACGAGTTTAGAATGTCCTTAGTGTTTATACCAATCACCCAAAGTCACTTTTATTTAAACAATTAATCCATTACCACTTACATAACCAACATATATACTTGAGTATATAAGACTTAGACCCTTGTTTCTATTTCTTTTTACACCTATAATAGTCCTATATAGATTTAGGTTTGATTGGTATAAGTTACTCAAATGGTACAAGCCGGATATGCACAAGGTACAAACAACAACCGCAACTCAACTTATTGCACATATCAACTTCTGTACCTCTATACTTTTGATGTTTTACACATAATTAATGGAAAAATGAAGCTTTAACTTATAAATTAGAGTTGTAGAACCATCTGTTATGAATCTAATAGCACAAAATTCACTTGATTTGGAGCAATGACTAATTTTATATGAATTTTAAAAAAATAGAGTGCAATTATCGGGTTCTATATGACCAGTTATGGAAATTCAAGATGTAGTAGACATTTCAAGCTTTCCAACGATATATTACACATCTAATTTGGACCAACGAATGATTTTATACGAATTTTTCAAACAAGATGTCATTGCAGATCCTCCCCTGCACACAACTTCGAATTTTACAACCAAAACAATAGAGTTATATTCCATTTAAATTTGCTAATAACACCAATGTTTATCCTCATTCTAACTGACCTTCTAAGCATAAAATCAAGACATTTTAACCTCATATATACAATTCACTATGTAAGACCTAAAATTAACTAAAACCTCAAAGTTTCTACCAAGAGATTAACTTATCTTGATTCCAATGATGATTTCAACTTCAAACAAGCTTGAATATCTTCAATCTCTTTATAATTTCAAGCCTAAACAAAATTTCAAACCCATGTATTGAAACATTAACCTAATTAGAATTTCAACTTAAGAAAACTTAGAAATTATACACATACAGAGTTTTTAAGCTTTAATCTTCCAAACCTTCAACCAGTTGATGATATCTTGACTTGATTTTACTTCACCTATGGAGGTTCTGGAGAAAACAAGAGACAACAAATAATACATATTAGGGTTCTATGATTTTTTTTTCTATAATTTTGGGGTATTTATATTTACAAATTTTCCATTTTGGCCCCTCAAGTCTAGCTTCTCAACTTTGTATCCTAATAGGACTTCAACTTGACATTTTAATAAGTTTAATTTTATTTTGTACGTGTGTGGCCCCTTGTATGGTAATCCATCACAAGTTAGTCTGAGGTACAAGTCGGTTAAGCATATGGTACAAGCACGTTATGCACCGTCCTACCCAAAGTTCACTTAACACAAATTGTACAAATTAATGGAACACGTGTTATAAGGATTGTGAGTAAAGATGATCTAATGAACGATAAAGAAAGATTGGATTGAAGTTAAGAGAATGTGTAGGTAAATGAGAGAGAAAATAATTTTTTTAATTGAGAGGTTGTTCAGCAGTTGCTGACTAGTTTGGTGCATAATGATTAGTGGTCAGAATGATTAAGATACTTTCATAATATAATGCAAAATAAAATATAATTGTTTGGTAATTATTCATAATGAAATTAGGATACTGAATGGTTAAGTGAGGTCCAAGATACAAAATCATTCAGAGAGTTATAGAATCATTAAAAGACAAAAAAGAATTTGCCAAACAAGATTCATCTTTTAGCAATTTAAAATCTATCTTTTAATGAAACTATTAAAAGGTAAACAAATAATCTCAAAATTAAGGTGGATGTTAAAAGATTATGCAAGTAAATGAAAAAGAAAGTAATTTTTCAATTGAGATTGGGCTCATAGCTATTTGCTTGGACCGGCCCATTAACCAGGGGGTCCTGCTCACAACCGTTGCCATGCTGACGTCCATCCACATGTCTCTTTGCTTAGAGGCGAAGCAAACGCGTAGAAGGGTAAAATCGTCATCTTAGAAAAGTAATTGTAATTCCTTATATTTCTGCTAAATCCAAGCGGTTGCCATAATAACCTTTTTCTCCAGTAATAATAGAATCCTTGCAGCATCATCATCATCTTTTCAGAGGAAGAGAATGGGACTACTTTCCAACAGGTGAAGTTTTTCTTCAATAATTTCAGTTTTTACGTTTCCATATTTATGTTGGTCGATGAATTTCTGAACAAATTTGATATGGTAAATGCAGATTGGATAGAGGAAGTCTTAGACCAGGAGATCATATCTATTCATGGCGTACTGCTTATATTTATGCCCATCACGGTATTGCTCTCTCTATTTTACTAGTTCTATTTATTTATTTATCAATCTCTCTTTGGAATCGAGTTTACTTTACAGAAACTATTATAAACCCTAGTTCGCAATAGGTTTTTTATTCGTTCTATAATCGATTGCGTTCTATGTACTTGTGGGTGTTCTTTTTTACAACGGCAAGACTTAAGTTCAAGTAATTTACTGAAAAATTTGGCTTATTTATATATTTATTTATGGATTTGACCATAGCAGTTTCTAAAGGTTAGATCGAAGTTGGATAGTTTTGAGATTGGGGTTTGAAAATGTGACAGATTTGATTATGTATAGGGATCATCGGGCTAGCTTGTCATTCTTATCATTTTTATTGTTATTGTAAAGTTTGTAGTCCTAAAATGAAGTGTTTAAGCATAAATTTGAAGGAAACTGTTAAATAGTTTTGAATTGGAACACATTGAAGATCAATGCAGTTGGTATCTCCTTATGGATTTTGCCATGATTAGAAGTGGTAAGTCCATTTTCAGAAATATGACACCATTTTTTAATGATGTGTTGTGCGTTTGGTGAGATCATGCATTGCAAGTTAATAGTTTGATGGTAGATAGCTCTCAAGTGTAGACACTGGAAAGCATTGAGAGTTCCCAACTTTGGAATTCTGAATATTTATGGTTAACCAAGCAAAAGATGAGAAATTGCACAAGGTAGCACATGTAAATGGTTCACCAGGGTTACATAGCGCTATGTGGAGAATATAACTGATGGGGAAGCCGCTCATGTATGCCCAAATGTGGATGTGGACTTCTTGTTTGATTAAGCTTCTAGGCATCTCAACAAAATTCTCATTCAGATCTGCTATTTTTTGGCTTCTTAGTTGGTGTGCCATTCACCATTTATGATTTACCTTCATTATCAAATAGGGATCTCCTTGCTTTATTGCCTACCCAATGCATGGATATGCATCATTATTAATTACGGTGAAGAATTGTGGAATTCTTTAGGGTTTTAATTTGAATGGGTAGTTTGGTAATTTATCAATATGTCTTGCCTCTTTAAATCTTGTTCCACTAAAATTGGTGGGATAAAAAATGCGTTTTTGTGCCAGTCGGTCATGTACCATTAGTTTTTGTCTTGTCCTGTCCCACCTACCTTTAGGAATTAGTCTTGTTCTAAGAATTGTGTCACATTAACAAAAAATTTGGTTTTTTTGGGGGGAGGGGGGTTGTGATCAAGATCAAGGTAGCTGGCTAAGTAGAATAATTTTCGTTATGCTACTTATATGTTCTCCGTGTGAGTTTTTTTGTTGTCCTTCACTACATTCTTGTCCATCTTACTTTGAAATATCCGGGCTACAGCTCATCCACAAGTAGTGGAAATATGATTCCCAGGTGTTAAATACTAAACACGGAGTTTCAAGTAGTGAAAATATAGGAAGAAGAATATGCAAGCTAGCATGAACATGAGATCTACTGCTTTTCATGGTTTCAAGTTCTTTCTTGAATGTTATTTTCCTCTTTTGCCCACACTATGCACAAGTCGGAGTCTTCACCGTAACAGTCGCTCTACTCTTTGCGATGGAGGTCAGGACTGCATATATCTCCACCCCGCCCCCAATCCCCATAAAACTCAACATTGGGCTGGTTTGGTTTGCTTTGCTTTACGAAGATGGGCTCTGGTTCTTTGTTAACAATAGCTATATATTCTTGGATGATAGGTATTTATGTTGGCGATGACAAAGTCCTTCATTTCACCAGACGTGGTCAAGAGGTAGGAACTGGCACGGTTCTAGACATCCTCCTGGTTAGCTCATTGCCACGACGGTCTCAAGTCCCCTGCCCCACCTGCATTCACACCGACGATACCAATGGAGTTGTTTCATCTTGCCTAAACTGTTTCCTAGCTGGTGGGGTCCTCTATCGGTTCGAGTACTCAGTTAGCCCAGCCATCTTTCTCACAAAAGCTCGTGGCGGAACCTGCACTCTTGCAGTGTCAGACCCACCTGAGACGGTTGTCCACCGAGCAAATTACCTCCTTAACAATGGCTTTGGCTGCTATAATGTATTCAAAAACAATTGCGAGGACTTTGCAATCTACTGCAAGACGGGTCTTCTTGTTGTTGACCATAGGACAATGGGTCAAAGCGGACAGGCGGTTTCGATCGTTGGTGGTCCCCTTGCGGCTGTGCTGTCAACGCCTCTTAGGCTTGTAACTACAAACATTTACGGGATGGCGGCTACGGCTGTTGGCGTGTACTGTGCTAGTCGGTATGCTGCGGATATTGGTATGAGGAGTGATGTGAGGAAGGTTGGTGTGGAGGATCTAACAAGGAGGATAGCAACTGGTGGTCTTACTGTTGTAGAACCTAGTATTCCAGCTTGGATGCTTAACAACAACAATAATAATAATGCTACCTAGTATTTATTTATGATTGGTGTGGAGGATCTAACAAGGAGGATAGCAACTGGTGGTCTTACTGTTGTGGAACCTAGTATTCCAGCTTTGATGCTTTAACAACAACAATAATAATGCTACCTAGTATTTATTTATGATTGTTCCTGGCCTTGATAATATTATGTATTACTTATGTTTTATGTTTCTATGCATCATAACTGTTTTTCATGAATCTTATATATATATATATATATATATATATATATATATATATATATACTAGTTGTGTACCCGCACAATGTGGCGGGAGTCGTAAATGTAAACGATTTTGAGACTTTTTGTGTTTTCATGAGAGAAGACTTTTTAAATGATATGATTTGCTTAGTTTTTTACGTATTAATATATTTTGAATAAATAAGAATTATTGTTCCAATTGCAGTCGATCACGTGTGAATTTGGCCCATAAAAGCAACTCCAACTCCAGCAGTAAAAAGAACTGCAAATCGGTGGGGCATGGACACCAAAAAATCAACTCATCTCCAAACACACAACATTTATGCCGTTTGAACAGGAGGCCTGGACTGCCGAAATTAAGTTCTCGTTGTAGGGTGGTTGGAGTTGAGCAAAACTCTATTTTAGTGTACGAATGGAGTTGTTCTAATCTAATCCTAAACAATAAAACCACTGACCTCCACAACTGTAAAAACGTCTTTCAATCAAAAAGCAGAATATTTAATCTAGATCAATTTACAAACATCAAACAGGCCTAAATAGCAACTTCTGATCATATCACGTATGTGTACCAAATGTTACCTAAATGATCTTAGCCGGTGGTTCCCCCAATTGTTTGCTGAAAATTTCGAAGAAAATTGTTAATATCACACAAGCTATTATTATTATGTAAGTGGAAAAAGAGTTGATGAAACGTTACTTGAAGCATGAATTATATATAAACTTAGCCATGGCAAGGATTTTAGGTTATGTCAAATGCCTGTGAATGTCATACAAAAAATGATTCGTTAAGTGCAAAAAGATGTCATGTGTCATTGAAGATGAAAGCAAAAATACATATAACTTGTAAAACAAATCAAATGCAAACCATGGAAAGGTTACAATCCCTACAAACCAACAAAAAATTGATTTGTCCTCTATCTTTCTCTATACATAACAAGAATCAAATCTTTGCTTACTGCCTTAAAGAAAACCGATGGCTCACCCTTCACATTCGGCAACCTTCAACTCAGAATCTTGTTCCTTCCTGTGGTAAAGTTTATGAAGAGGACCCTTTAATTTTAAGAAAAGTTGTGTCAAACATTATAGTTTGCATAAATAATCAATTATCTTGATATGGGCCATCAAACACTATGAATAGTTAAGAGGGATACCTACAATGAAACAGATGCATCAAATAAAGCATAAGGATGGGATTTTAGTGCAKGTTGATTCCCGCCTTCCGCTGCTTGTCGAGCCAACTCAGGAAATGTAGCTTCTAACCAAGAAATTGCCAAATTGGCATTACTAACAGCTGTTGAGCTACCAGCTTTCAGTCCAAATGTCTGAGCATCATTATATATCTCCAATATACACTCCCATTTATACACACTGTCACAGTGGAAATAACTCAAGCAAGTTAATTTCAACTATTAATTATCAACATCAAACAAAAGAACACAAGTACATATATTTTCCACACTTTCTCTAGATAAGGAATATTTTAATTACATTGAAGGATAAAACACTTGCGAGAACAAATCAGCACCTAACATATAATTGCAACTTACCTCCCAAACGGAACAACTGGACATAGGATGTAAACTGCACCATCACTAAATAAAACAAAAACCTGCAGAATTGAACATCATCAATAGTAGATATAAAAGAACCGCAACAAGATTGAAAACATTTAGCATTGGCAAATGATCACTGCTAAAATATATAAAAAAAAACACATCAAGATTTTAGAATAATGAAACAAGCTACGTACACTAATATGAAATAATACAGTCAAATTACAATTGAATACAAACACAAAGTATTTGATGGAAGGTCTAAACCAACAGCTTCCTCCTACAACTGCATCAATAGTTCTATTTGATGCACAAATTGGTCTGGCGAATTTTAGTGCAATTCAAGTATTAGATATTCTCAATAAAGAATGTTCTACCTGAAAACTGAATCAGAGGATAGAATTCCAAAATGAGTGTCACTATAAGGATGCCATGGAACTTTTAAAGTCTTGATGGCATTGTTTATGTTGAAGTAGAGATCTGAGCCAACAGAGACCGTCCTGCAGATCAGTAGACCAAATTTTTATATAATTTGTAGCATACACATAGAAAACCCTAGGAAATTGTGAAAGAATTTCACCTTCTGGTGAGAGAAATGTTGACCCTCGATTCTACATGACAACAAAAAATACTAAATTGAAAAGCTGCAGTAGCAGAAAGTCTTGTAAAACACAAATCGCCATAATCAACAATCACAAGAAAATCTGAGAGTAGCTGAAAAGGTTTTAACTCTATTCTATAAAATCAAAAAAGATGTGTATTCTTTGACTTTGACCTCTGAAACGTGGTCGTAGTCGCCCACCCAAGCCGAAGGATCCGGCTGTTTTGGAGACTCAGATCTATGCTCAAACAGGGTGTGAAATCAAAAGGGGAAGAGGTGTTAAAAGGTGTCTTTTGACTAACAATCTTTACTTTTGAATATTGGTTATATCAGGTTAAAGTTGGAGGGCTAATGTTGCAATTGAGCTAAAAGAATGTTATGAAGTAGAAGGGGCGCGCCTCACTATTGAGAGAAATACAGGGGTAGCGGAGCAATTTTCTTCAAGATTGAGGACTATTAATGCTATTATGGAATTCTTATATAAATGAAGGATGTGACGTTTCCATCTCACATTCAGATTCATTTTTCCACATTTCACAAAGTTTCTCTCTCTCTCTCTCTAGTTCTTTAGTGTGCGATTCATTCTTTTGATTTGAAGCTTTGTTCATAAGGTGTTAATCGTTTTGATTAACAATTAGTTAGGTTTAATATATGTATTTCTTTCTATATATTGTTCGAAATAATTGAATAAATATCTTTTCATATATTTGTTCTTGGTATAAGAGCATCTCAGATCTGGTTCCGCCATATCCGCAAGGAGTTGCGTCGCGATTTCTGCTGTTCATTTATTGATCTGTGTTCAAAGCTTTCAGGTAAATCATTCGTCAATCTGTTACTATTCTTTGGGTAAATGATCATCTTGTGTCGAGCCTATACAGATCTGTTCTATCTTGTTTGTGCTCTTATCTAGAAATATATGAAAAGATATTTATTCAAATATATGAAAAGATATTTATTCAATGATTTCAAACAATATACAGAAAGAAATACAGATATTAAACCTAACTAATTGTTAATCAAACCGATTAACAACTTATGAACAAAGCTTCAAATCAAAAGAATGAATCGCACACTAAAGAACTAGAGAGAGAGAAAAAAAACTTTGTGAAATGTGGAAAATGAATCTGAATGTGAGCTGGAAACGTCACATCCTTCATTTATATAAGAATTCCATAATAGCAGAAATAGTCCTCTATCTTGAAGAAAATTGCTTCGCTACCCCTGTATTTCTCCCAATAGTGAGGCGTGCCCCTTCTACTTCATAACATTCTTTTAGCTCAATTGCAACATTAGCCCTCCAACTTTAACCTGATATAACCAATATTCAAAAGTAAAGATTGTTAGTCAAAAGACACCTTTTAACATCCCCCCTTAATCTTGACTTTTGAACAAGTCAATCATCTTTAACTTGGAACATAAGTAATTATGATGATTGATTCCAAGAGCCTTTGTAAATATATCGGCTGGCTATTCAGAGGAAATGATTTTTTTCAATTTTTAACAAACCTTTACTAACAGTTTCACGAACATGATGTATATCAATCTTAATGTGTTTTTTTCGCTCATCGAAAACAGGGTTATTTGCTATTTGAATGGCAGATTTATTATCACAGTATAAGGAAACAAGTAATAACTCAGAGATATTAAGATCTGAAAGTAACTTTAATACCCATAACACTTCACACGTAGCAGAGGCCATGGCTCTATACTCAAACTCAGCAGAAGAGTGAGAAACAGTACTTTGTTTCTTACTCTTCCATGAAATCATAAAACTACCCAAAAATAAGCAAAAACCTGTTACAGAGTGCCTGGATGATAAACACTTACACCAGTCTGCGTCAACATAAGCTGTTAGACAAAAACTATTAGACTTTGTAACACTAACTCCCTTACCTGGAGAGAGTTTTAGATATCTAAGAACTCTGAGAGCAAGTTTTAAATGAGATTGTCTAGGTGAGTGCATGAATTGGCTCAGACAATGAACAACAAAAGAGATATCAGGCCTAGTAGCTAGCAAATATATCAACCTTCCAATTAGCCTTTGGAAACTAGTGTGATCTGTTAAAGGAGGATCTTTTACATTTGAAGAACCAGTAACAACCAAATTCATATCCATGGGAGTGTTACAAGGCTTAGAACCTAAGTAACCAAAATCATTAAGGAGTTCTAAGCAGTATTTCCTTTGTGACATACAAATACCACTATCATACTCTAGAATTTCAATTCCCAGGAAGAACTTTAATTTTCCTAAATCTTTTATTAAAAATTTACTTTTCAATAAATTCTTTACTTTGTCAACTTCCGAAACACAATTTCCAGTAACCACAATATCATCAACATAAACCAAGAGAATAACAAATACAGAACCAACATTTTTTGTGAACAAAGAATAATCATTTACGCTTTGAATAAAGCCGTTTTCGATCAAGCAGGAAGACAACTTAGCATACCATTGGCGCGAAGCCTGTTTTAATCCATATAGAGAATTAATCAATTTACATACATGTTTATCTTTAGCATCATAATAGCCTTCAGGCAGAGTCATATAGACTTCTTCTTTTAGATCTCCATATAAAAAGGCATTATTTACATCTAACTGAAACAGACTCCAACTATTTTGTACGGCTAAGGAAATAATACATCTAACGGTTACCATTTTTATCATAGGAGAAAAAGTTTCTTCATAATCAAGGCCCTCCCTTTGACTGTAGCCTTTAGCTACAAGTCTGGCCTTGTATCT